GAAAAACTAAAATTTTTGTTTGAAATGCTTGTTTAAAATGAATGATGAATGATTTTCTTTAGTAACATGTTTGATACTATGCTGTCATATATAAGTATATATTTTTATTTATTACCATATTCTTAAAAATTGAGATGAGTCTCTTTTTAGCTTGTAATGTTTATGTATGTGCGTGCTTGTTTAGATGATTTATCAGAACACAAATTTGTATAATGACATGGGTATTACACTGCTATACCAATGTAAATGTGTTTATGATGAAATTTCTTGAGTCCTCATAATTAAGATCGCTTGCAAACAATATTTAATTAAAATAGAATCATATGCAGAAATTTTTGTGTGATGGGTAGGTGTACAGTTTGTACAGTAAAAAAATAATTACGCCTATATGGAGTGTCCCCGCAAACCAGATATGTAGTAATACTCCAAATGATTGACCTGTGCAAAATTTATCCCCATGAGCATAACAGCTTTTTAAATTATACTAAATTATGTTTCTGAAAATATAAAAAATGTAGAAAGTTTACTGTGATGGTTAGGTTTAGGGGATGATACAGTATAAAATCATTAATATAATGTAAATATAAATATAAAAGGTTCTAAATATATTGTAGAAACTTAAATTTTCCTGTGAAACTGCTTTGCAACAATTTGTTTTGTGAAAAAAAGCTATAAAATTTTAACGTGAATTGAATTATGCCTATGGAAAGACTCTCTAAAACATGACAATGACATGTCCGGACATGTCGGGGGATCCCGATAACCCTTATCGTTTGGCCTGTTAAAATATTTTTCACCCCTTTACTTATTTTGAGGTCGCTGACTCCTCATTACAATCGACCGATAACTTTTTCTAACATGGCAAACTCTTTTTCCCGCTCCTGGTAAAATGTACAATATTTTTAGTGACGACTAAAACTAGTGTAAATGTTTTGCTTTGTTTTATATCCTGTGTGATCACATAATTTATTTATTTTAATTTCATTTAAAAGAAGAGAATAAGTCTCGGATGTTTGAGTGTGAGAGCGAGAGAGAGAGATAGAGATAGAGATAGAGATAGAGACAGAGATAGAGAGACAGAGGTTTTTAGAGGTTTTTGTAAACCCCTCATTCGGACATTGGTCATCTGTGCACTAGGAAAACTTTTTTCTCACGGAAAAATGTAAAGGATTTTATTTTTACTAATTTATTGATTTATTCATTAAAGTACGTAAACATATGATGTTGCTAAAAAGAGCATTATTTGGTGTCACAACATGGCGCCGGCGGCAACAGCGAGAATAAAAGTTACGCCTTCTTTCTTTGCGTGAACATTTGGGTGGCGTTATGCAAATCTGCCCACATCGTGATGTAGACGTGGGGGCGTGTTAGAACGAGCCGTTTTAGGTAGGCGTGGTTGACCCTTAACTTTTATAAAGAATATCTCTTTGGATTTGAGACTTTAGTCTTTGTAACTTTACAGATCTTCTTTATGCACCAAGAGCTTGTAACACTCCAAAGAGAAAGGAAAACTTGAAATCGCATCATATGACCCCTTTAAGATTAAAGCTTCTTATTTATTTATTCATTAAGCTAAATGTTTATTTTCAATTTCATTATTACATGTGTTATTTAATACCTTTTTTATATTGCTGAGAATCATTTTATACAGTCATCAGATTATATGTGTGTGCGCACACATATTGTGATATGTTAAAATTGTTTACTTATTTTTGATATTATCCTTAAAACCAATATCTTCTTTCTCACATCTCCAGAGAGAGAATGACCAAAAATGAAACCGGATTCCTCCCCAGACATGTGGGCGTCAGATGCCGGACACCACCAGATGTGGGTGTTCAAAACGGACCATAAAAGCACAAAAACATTCCTCAGGACTTCATTTATGGTTTCGTCACCGGACAGAATTGTACAAACATCATATTTCTGCCCCCGGAGGGCAAAGGCCGACATCGGAATTCCACATATGCTGATTTACACATCTGGATGTCATTAACAGGTCACGGGGTCAACACGACGTGAGTGGTCGCAACGTGGGGGGAGGGGAAAGGTCAAAGCCATAAATCATTCTTGACACTAGTGTTGGGATGTTCTTGAACGATTCGTTCATTTTGAACAAATCTTTAATGTGACTCGACAGCCCCATACGCTTTAACCAATGCAGTCTGAGCCGGAAAGAGAATTGATTCGTTCATCTCTTGAGTCTTCGGGTTTGAGTCGTTCATTCATCACATGACAGCCCCATAAGCCCAAACCCGAAGACTTGTCAGAACTCAAAGGTCCGAGTCAGTAAAATGATCCGAACTTCCCATCACTACTTGACACATGCCGAATTGTAGGGACTACTTCCCTGACATACAGTAAGAGTACTGAAAAACAACTGAGATCTCCTTTGTGGTTCTAATTAATATCATTACCATATAAAAGTGCACACGCCAATATCCGAATTTCTGAAATTGAGGTCCTGCTGGCAGAGGTAGAGGTTCGTGCAGGGATGCTTTTTATTTAATAATGTGTAATTATTCTGTGGGCAAACAATGTGTGTGTGGTTATATTTTTTCTATTGACTATTGTCAAAATTACTACTTCTAGAAACAACACAAATAATAATAATAATAATAATAATAATAATAATAATAATAATAATAGTAGTAATTATAAAACAATTAGGTTTCCAAATGTAAGAATAAACTACGAATTCAAGTTAAATTTTCAGTCATCTTATAAAAAGTGATCCATCCTACTTTTAAAATCACTTGCTATGACAACTAATAAAAAGTTTAATAACATGAAATTCTTGCAAAACTTAAAAAAAAAACATTATTGAAAGAAAAACTGTACATTTCATATCATAATAAAATAAATCATTACACGATTATTGGTCTCCGGTCTAAAAAAAATCCTGCATGTGATTTGGCATTTCTTTATATTTACACAGTTTACTATTAATGTACTGACACAAAAATATGTAGTGTATTTTATATATATATAACTGATGTAAATGACAAAAACTAAGTTTAAGGCTGATGTCTCTATTCATTTTCACAGAAGCAAAGGAGCAGATGTTAAATAAAATAATAAATAAATTATAAATAAAAACAGTTAATGTTATTGAATAGAATATATTAAAACTGTTATTGCATGACATAGGCCTATTCTTATAGGCTATACAAAATCTGACTACACTGCACAATTAATCTCTTACACTGCATCTTTGTTGTTTATGATGAATTCGGTGCTTGCACATACACCGCGTTTATTATTATTGCAGCTTAGATGTTCAAATAGCTGCAGTACTCCGATTTTGCCACAAGGAAAAGTGCGTACGCCTGCTCAGACCCTGACGTGACGGTAAGTACTTTTACACGACAAAGACCGTTTTTATAAATATGAACATTGCCGTGGATTTTAGCGTACGCACACTATAAGATCAAATCTGTGCGTACGCACATTTTATAAATGAGGCCCAGGGACTGTAATGTAGTGCATTAAAATTAACTGTTTGATCCATTGACGTTGATAACCACAGTGTCCAAATACTTCAAAGTCTTCATTTGAACTGTATATTGTACCTAATTTGTATCATTTGATGTTACATTAAATGTAAATACATAGAATATAAAGAAGAAACAAAGACTTTGATATATACAACATTATATATTTAATATATTGTAATTTCTTCTTACAGTGAATCATCAATACCATTGACACATCTTGCCTTATGCCAATAGTCAAGTTTATTTATTTTATAATTGTGGTTTATCCAGCACATGGGAATTATATTATATCAGTTCACTGAACAATCAATTTTCAATTAATCATTCTCGTTTTATCTTTTTTTTTTTCATTTCTTTTCTTTTTTTTTTTTTTAACAAAATGTTTCACAAAACATACAACTTGTTGACGTTTCATGCAGCAAGTCAAGGCCTCATTCATATAGAAAGCACATAATCTTTGCAATGTATAAATAGCTACATTTCCAATGAAGTGTCATTTAGTTTTGGTAGCTCTCCAGTTCAGAGAATTACTGGATGTGACTAGAGTAGTTTGGACAAGAATGAAATTGCCCATAAAAATTCGAATTAATAATTTGCCCAAATATTTGAATTCTGTCATCATTTATTCACTGTTATTTTGTTTCTAAACCTGCATGACTTCATTTCTTTCATGGAACACAAAAGAAATTTAAAGAATGTGCTGTTTTTTTTTTCCAAAGCACTTACAATTAATGGGGACTGGAGCTTTCAAGCTTCAAAAAGGACCATATGGAGAAAAAAACATCTTGAAAGCATCATAGAAGCATTTCATGTGAGTCTGTGTGCTGAAGTCATTTTGATTTGTTGAAGTCAAGTCATCTTTATTTATATAGCACTTTATACAATACATATTGTGTCAAAGCAGCTTTACAGTGTTAAACAGGAAAATAGTTTCAATAATGCAAACAAAATTCAATTCTGCCGTAAAGCAGCTCTAAAAGAGGACAGTAGTAAACAGTTGAGCTTGAACTGTTAGAGAAACCGAATAATTAATTATTAAATAATTCATTCAAAATCTAATCCAGTTCCAGGGTGCTGGAAAGATTATTCATGAATAACAACTTAAATGTTGATTTCTTAATCACACAAGCTGTATTCATTCAGAACATTTCATACAATATGCACATGGCACAAGTTGAAGGGATTTTTCATGATACTCTGGAGCTTTTAAATCCTTACTGAAGCTTGAAAGCTCTCAGTTAATTGTGATAGCAAGGGGAAAATGGAACATTTGGAAAACTTTGGAATATTCTTCCAAAGTTATTTTCTGTTCCACAGAAGACAGATTTAAGCATACATATAATTTATTCAGAATAGAGACTGTAACTAGAATGTTTGTAGCTCATGACTATTCATAGGTTCTCTGTTTGAGAAGCGTCACTTATGTAAAAATATCATATAGCAATATATAGTGCCCTTAAAGATATATAGGCATTGTTTATAATTAAATGATTTCATAGAAACCCACTTTTAGAAATAGTTGAAGATTGTTGAGAGAGAAAAAAAATGTCATAAATGGTTGTCTCATTATGTCATATAGTCTTTTTATCAGTAGTGTATTCATAACTTTTGTTAGGTAAGATAACTTTGAGATATAATTTCTTTCGAAACGTGGAAAAAAAAATACTTTCACTCTGCAATGACTGATTCAGATGCTCTCAGTTGAGAAATGAGACATTATAAAGATGATTCAATTTGGCAGCTTTTATAATAAAAATACTAAATTCAGTTCCTTTTACAGTAATTAAAACAACAAATTCCATACATTAAATATGGTTCAATACTAAGCCACAGTCCTTAAACTCTTCCTCTGTTCTAATCAAAGGAAGAATCTATAAAACAAAGCAACAACAAAGGCATGCTACCACTGATGTTTGATTTAGCTATGATGAGAAGCCATTGCCTCAACCCTAAATGACCCTCAAATATCCGAGGCACTCAGTGGCCGGCCTATCAACTAAAATCTCACCTTCTAATCGCTTCAACGACAAGGTCACATTTTCTACACTTACGTTTTTACTGTACACCCTTGCAGGATGGAAGAGACAAATGTGAACAAGAACACAACAACTGCACCACTGTGAGTGTGTTAAAGGGTGTCCCATTTTCCAGGTTATCTCAAAAGGGTCTCTTGTATCGTCACAACAAGGAAACTCTTATCTGCAATCTATCTGTCATTCAGTTTGGGTGAATCGGCACCCTCCTCATCTTCATCTTTGTCATCTTTTGCCCCAATCAGTCGTTGTCGAGCAAAGTCCTCAAAGATGATGTCATCGTCACTAGGGACAAACAATTACAGAAACATTCATCAGTTGTGCGTTTCCCTGAACGCATTTTTGTGCTGTTCTTTTTTCTTATGTACAAGAACAAAGAACGTCTCGGTTACGTATGGTAACTCTCGTTCCCTGAAGGAGGGATGAGGCAGCGATCGTGACCATCACCCAGCACCAGGTAACGACCGCATCCAGAAACGGCCGGGTGATACGTTGTCTATAGCAAGACCCACATCGTCTTTACAAAGATGTAACCTCAAGTTTGCCATGCAACCTCGTCTTTAAAAAGACGCACCCGAATTTGCTCTTTTAGGGAAAAAGCTCTTTTAGCGTGCTGAGGCGCACAGGGGAGATGATCACCTGCAACACAAACAGGGGGTAGTGCAGCCTGATGTGTGCAATCCACTCGACACGGGAAACCACCACCGCTGAAGCGTCGTACCGCCAACACGAAGAGCTCTCCAAGAGCGCGCTGAACTCGTTCAGTCTTCTTCTCTCAGTAGAGTAGTCAGGAGCAGAACGATGTGATCGCTCGGCTCCGAAGTGAAAAGCTGAATATGCGCTGCATCTGCTGCCTACTTATACTCACGCTGTGATCAGCGGCAGCTGGATGCAATAATCGCATGCCAATGTGCATTGGCTCGTTTAGTTTACACTCGAAGTAGATTGGTCTCTCTAAGCGACATCCCAATTCGTCGGTCATCCGACGTGACGTGGAGAGTGACCGACTGAAAGGGAACTGTTGACAAAGAACAGACAGCTTTGCAGTGAGCAATTATTAGCGTTCATGACATTTTATATAGATTTTTTTCCTTCAATTAGCTTTAGTAAAAATCAAACAGAGAATTTTAGTGGAATAGAATCTGAACTAGGATCATTAAATTTCTCGCGATTACTATCCCTCAGTTAGATTAGGTTTCACTACAAATTGAATTTTCAGCATCATTACTCCAGTCTTCAGTGTCACATGATCCTTCAGAAATCAGTCTACAGTAATATGCTGATTCGGTGCCCAAGAATCATTTCTTACAATTATCAATGCTGAAATGCTGAAAACTATGGAAGCCCGTTTCCGCCACTGAATAAAAAATATAAAAAAGGTTATTGTGACTTTTTATCTCACAATTCTGACTTTTTTTCACAGAATTGTGAGATATAAACTCACAATTGCGAGTTATTAAAGTCAGAATTGCGAGATATAAAGTCAGAATTGTGAGATATAAACTCACAATTCTAACTTTTTTTCTCAGAATTGCGTGATATAAACTCACAATTGCGAGTTATTAAAGTCAGAATTGCGAGATATAAAGTCAGAATTGTGAGATATAAACTCACAATTCTAACTTTTTTTCTCAGAATTGCGTGATATAAACTCACAATTGCGAGTTATTAAAGTCAGAATTGCGAGATATAAAGTCAGAATTGTGAGATATAAACTCACAATTATAACTTTTTTTCTCAGAATTGCGTGATATAAACGCACAATTGCGAGTTATTAAAGTCAGAATTGCGAGATATAAAGTCACAATTGCGAGAAAAAAACTCGCAATTCTGACTTTTTTCTCACAATTGAGAGTTTATATCTCGCAATTCTGATTTTTTTTTCTCGCAATTCTGACTTTATAACACGCAATTGCGAGTTAAAGTCCAATTTTGAGTGGGGGGGTGGGGGACTGATATGTTCTCACAATTGCGAGTTTATATCTCGCAGTTCTGACTTTTTCTCAGAATTGCGACTTTATGTCTCGCAATTGCGAGTTTATATCACGCAATTCTGAGAAAAAAAAGTCAGAATTGCGAGTTTGTATCGCAACTCTGAGAAATAAATTCAGAATTGTGAGATAAAAAGTCAATAATTTTTTTATTTTTTATTCAGTGGCGGAAACGGGCTTCCATAGAAAACAGTTGTAATACAGTTGCAAAACATTTTCTGAAGGATCATGTGACACTAAAGATGAGTAATGGCTGCTGAAAATTCAGCTTTGCATCACATCTATAAATTACATTTTACAGTATTCAATCAGAAAACAGTTATTTTAAATTGTAATTATATTTTACAATATTACTGGTTTACTGTACAGTATTTTTGCAGCCCTGCTGAGCATAAGAGAATTCTTATAAAAATGACAGACAAAATTGTTGATTAAACATACATAAATACATACATACATAAAAACAAAAAACAAATAAGAATTATATGTATAACCACAAGGCTCAAAGCAGTGTCACCATATTCTAATTTGTTGAGATAGTGAATTGGTGGGTTTTTGTTAAATGTGAGCCAAAATCGTCACAATTAAAAGAACCAAAGACTTAAACTACTTCAGTCTGTGTGCATTGAATTTATTTAATACACGAGTTTCACAATTTGAGTTGAATTACTGAAATAAATGAACTTTTTCGCGACATTCTAATTTATTGAGATGCACCTGTATGTCTGGTCCACCAAATGCTTAGAAAAATGATACCTCAACTCTCCTCAATAAGTTGCACAATTTGAGGTTTCATGTCTTTAGCACAAATGCCAACACATTCTCACTCACAACTTGTCACATATTGACACTTGGTCAGGTGACTTTTTAACAAACAGGGTACCACTTTAGCATCAATTTTTCAGTGTGCAGGCCAGGGTAAACCTTTGCCGTCAATATTCTGATGCGAAGAACATGATAATTTTATCGTCATGATGAAATTATATAATGGCTAATAATTTTGCCATTATAACATATATTTTGGACAGGGGCGTTTCCTCCGGGGAGGCATGAGAGGCAGTGCCTCCTCAAAAAATTGGATGAGAAAAAAATTCATAGTACAAAAATAAAACAATGCCAATATTACAAAATATAACATTAAATAAATTGCTCGTTTTTCTAAAGAAACATTGTCCAACAGCGACACCAGCAGGTAAAGTTATATTGGGAGTCCACGTCTCTCTCGCCTCCCCTGAACCCATTGAGTTTTAACAGGTCATGTGAGAGGAGGCAGTGCCTCCATCATGATATGATTGGATATGACTGGTTATGTTCGGCTGTGATTGGTTCATGTGATTAATCCCGACTTTTGTGTTCGTGTGCATTCTTCGTTCGCGAATCAGTCTGAATGAACAATTTAATGGCGTTAATGGGAAAACTAATTTTAAAAAATGGGGAGGCTAATTTAAAAAAGTAAGTAAACAACCCACTGTTACGTCAAAATAAGACAAATTGAAATGGCCTGAAAACATGATCTGTGGGAGTTTTTAGTGAGTAAACAGCTTGGTGAAAGTTAAGGTAAATCTTTGTGTCTGTGACCAATATTCGCCGAGCTTTGCTGACTGATGAGCTGAAAAATTCAAAAATAGTTCAAAGTTAACTATTAAAAATAATATGAACATAAGTTCACATATAAAATATATTGTTTAAACTGTTACTGTCTTGAGTTATTATTTTGGAATAAATGTTTTAAAATGCTTTAAAACACTAACTTGATGAGATTCATACTTGGATTTAATAAATAGAATATTGTTTACATTTTTAATGTAAAAAATACAATATAAAATAGAATTGAATTGTTTTTTGTTTGTTTTTCTCTTTTTATGATAGTGTAAGTAATGTTTATTTAACCAAAAAAATGTGACTAGGCCATGAATTTACATTTGATCAAAAAAAAAAAAAAACTGTGGACTTTGCCTCCTCATTTCAGAACACCACCGCAGACCACTGATGTTGGAGCATGATTTTCAATTTAAACAGCCACAGCAATTTTATTTACATTACATTACACTATTTAGACATTTATGAGCACATAACCCAACCCCTGCCCCTAAACCCAAACACTTGTCAATCTAAAACACAGGATATAACAGGCAGATACAACTACAGTCACAATTATTCCAAGTCTTCCGAGGGCAAACGATTGATTTGTGAAAGGAGACACGATGACCGTCTCCATCATCTGCCGCACATTCAAAAACTGACACCAGAAGAAGCGTTGCGTCAGCTTTGGTAGTGAAATGCCATTGACTCTTTGTGTCTCTGTGACCAACTGCGTCATGCTAAAGTTCGGGTGTTAACAGTTCGGACCTCGTTAACAGAGCGGGATCATTTTCAGCGATTAAAACCTTGTGTTTCATTTTGTTTTTCAGAAGACTTGAAAGGCAACACGAGTTGTTTATGATACTTTTACACTGATTTTTGGTCAGTTTTTGCAGTAAATACTTGTGACTGTACGTTTATTTTCCTGTTATGCATTTTATAATGTTGAGACGTGGGTAGGTTTAGGGTAGGGGTGGGGTTAGGTGCTCAAAATATCTATGAAAGTATAAATCTAGATAACATAATTTCTGTTTTTACAAATGCATGAAAATCATTAAATGTGTCTTGATCTGATGCATAAGGCAAACAACTGAAAGCAATGTAGTACCCTGCATATCAAAAAGTTGTGCTAAAGGGGTACCCTGTGCATTACAAAGTGATGCCAAGGGGTCCTGACCAGTGTGTGACAAGTTGGAAGTCAGAACGTGTTGCAAATGCCTATGTGCTATGAGGAGTAGGACATTTGTTTAATCTTATTGTAAAGTTAATTCCAGCATCACACGCCACACAGGATGATCAAAATGCAAACGTACCCTCCGCGAGACACCACCAGCTTCACTTTCACCTTATAAGAAACAATGATGCCCAGAATTTCCTTATTGGCCCCCTCTCTTAACCTTTTTAGAAACAATGCCATGGAAAGGTGAATTAATAAACATTACAAGAAACACAATCCACTTTTAAATGAGGGATTGTACTTACAATGTACTTGAGGCTAAATTTGTGTCTTCATGTTTGAGTTTGCCATCCAGAGCCAAGCCACGTTTCTCTCGGTTATTCGCGAGGTAAGGTGTGAGAGTGTATACTTTACAAAATGTCGCACTGGGGGCCACGATATCACTAGAACAGGAACAAAGCAGAGAGTAATTAATCGGATGTAAAGTTGTGTTCTCATACGGTAGCTGAGTGTTCAGTTTACAGAGGACTTACTCTGATTCCTCTGTCGCCACTGGACACTTGTACTGGGCAGTGTTGAAGAGGCAGATATCAGCATATTGACGCACTGCAATAATAGAAATAAGTGTTATTGTTTCTTAACTACACACTAGTGTAAATACAAAGTCTGTCCACTATGAATAACTGAATGTGAACCTGAAATCTTGATTTTTTTTACTGTCTTGTTTGTGTTGTTTGTGACATGGACGTTGACACTGATTGGTTCACCATGATAGTAAATCTGAAAGACATTAAACAGTTAATTAAGTTAATATCAGCATCATTCAAACGACAAGAGTTAATGGCAGCATAGGTCAAAAAAATATCGGTATGTGTTTCTGAAGAAAATCTGATATTGAAATTATATTATAGTCTAAACTCTAAACAATTAGGCCTAAATATTTAGGATTTCTGTATTTGAATACAAAATCTATTTGAATTATACCATTTTAACATAAACAAACTCATGCGATGCATATTTGTCAGTCACACATAAAAAACAGGTACGATTTCTTTAGTACTAATGAACTGAACGTGTTTTGAATACACAACAATCAGGTTTCATACATTTATCATCAATAAATCCAATTTCTTTCAATCTCATATATATATATATATATATATATATATATATATATATACATACATATGTATGTATGTATGTATGTATGTATATATATATTTTTTTTTTCTCAGAAAACTGAATATTGCTTGTTTCAAAGCTAGCCATATTTTAACGCCGTTCGTGATTTATGCTGGTTCTAACTGATTCTGAAAATGTGATTATTTCAATAAAATAAAATGCAAATAGTTACATTTTTTACAATTTATGAATATAGTTTTAGGATTTTAATAATTTCTTACCTGTTTAAAGTGTAAAAAAAAAATATGCAGCACATTAAGTTTATTACTTAATGTTAAAATTATGTAATCCAAATGGATGAAAAGGCCTAACTAATTTTTGAGCGATTCTGTTTTGTTCGGGGAGAGATCCCAGGTGTGTATGTATATATACACATACAGACATTACATTTAATAACATGCCAAAAGTCCTTAAAGACATGCTGAGGTCCCAGGTCTAAAATTATAATTAAATAAATCTAATTAATTTTCAGATTCCTGATTTTGTGAATGCATTGTAGCGTTATACATTCATGCCAAATGTCTTTCTAGAATTGTTTTATTATTATCTTTTGTTTAAAGCTTCAATAATGTCTGCGTGAGTTTCTGAGTTTTCATAAGGTCATCAGAACATATTACAAAATGAAGAGAAAATTTTAAAAAAAGCATGTTTTATTATTATTATTATTATTATTATTTACTACTACTATAACATTGTGCCTGCAGGATTTCAGATGTAATACCCTGGTTCCATCACTAGATGTACTCGTTGTCACTGGATTAACTTGGATTAGTAATTAGCTGAACTCTCTCTCTGTCTATGTTGTCTTTCCTCAATAGTCAGATATCTTATCCAGACCAGCAGAATAACCAGCCATCCCTACCTCTTTGTCAAGTGAGGCCTCCAGGTGTAAAGGCTTGTCTGACATGAGAAACTGCCTTGTGGTTTCAGCCATTGGCTGTGGGCCCGGCTTCTCTGGGGCATACTGCACTTTTCTGATGACAAGACGCACTGAATTCCTGTAGAATGGCAGTTAATGGGACATACATATTATCATTTGTGACATTTACTGACTTTTACGAAATCTATGTTGTGAGTGGTTGTCAGGGCAATGGAATGTGTTGCTAAGGTGTTGTGAGTGGTTTTCAAGCATGTTGCTTTGAATTGATTATAACAGTAACAAACTAATAATAAATAAATGATCATGTATTACTGTGTGTTAGACAGACTACTCACTACTACCAGGGCAGTCATGGCCTAATGGTTAGAGAGTCAGACTTGTAACCTCGCAGGTTCGAGTCTCAGTACCAGCAGGGATTGTCGGGGGGGGGAGTGAATGTACAGCGCTCTCTTCCACCTTCAATACCATGACTGAGGTGAGACCCTTGAGCAAGTCACCGAACCCAATGCCGCAGCAAAAATGGCTGCCCATTGCTCTGGGTGTGTGTTCACTACGCACTGCTGTGTGTGCGCACTTGGATGGGTTAAATGCAGAGCACAAATTCCGAGTATGGGACACCTTTGTCAGATCCCAGATAAAATGAATTCAGCAATCATAAGACACTTTCTCAAATGTATTCAATCGGAAATCATTTGGTCTCATCTGTCTCCCATATTTTCCAAAACCACATTCCGACAATGTTGCAAAACTGCTAAAAAGAAAGGTAATGAATGTTATATGTGTTGCTTTGTCAGTTATTCAGTTGGGTGCCATTGTGAAAGGCTGTACCTTTTGTGGATTTTTTCTTCAACATTTTCTGCACAGAAAGCTTTCACTTCAAAGTCAACCCCGCAGGCCTTTGCAGATAGGAATAAGAAAATGTTACTCTGGAGTGTGAAACTCTGCAAAGCCCCTTTACTTATCTATCAAAACCAACATTATTTGAAGGAAAATGTACCTTTCCTGTATCCTCTGGCCCTGGTTGTAACGTGACAGAACAGGGTAAATTCGGCGGAATCTGTGAGAAAATTTTCGACATTTAAATTTGAGGTTGAAATTGTAGCACAGATATGAGGAAGGGACCAAATTTAATCAGAACTGAATCCAATATGACATAGTTGGCATTATGTCAAGAAAATGAGAAAGAAGATTCACCTCGAAGGTGAAGGGGTAAGCATGTTCTCCAAGTTTCTTTATCAGTCGCTCTTGTAGACGTGTCAAACTCTTTTTCTCTTCAGGCACAGGAGGAAATGCCTGGATGTTGGCCACAAAGAGGTCTTTGCGAAACGTCAAGCCAAGAACGTCCAAGTCCTCCCTTCCATAGCGGAAGGCACACGTCAGTGTCACAAAAACTGAGGAAGAATAAAAACAAACTTCTCAGTAACTGTATGGTTAATGGATTTACAGTCAACATTGTACTCCCTATTCCTAATAAAAGAAAACCAGCAACAAATGGGACGATTATTGGCATACAGTAAGTGTACAGAGCTATAAAATTAATATGGAAAGCACAGCTCAGATATTAGCCTTGGAGATAGATGTAATGAGTGAGGTTTGAGTTCATATTGAGATCTCTGATTTATGATTGCTGGTATCTTCCAAATCTGAGCACAGTTTTTAATGCTGAGATCTAGTCTGAAACATATGTGAAATTACTGAGGAGAAAAATCTGTGAGCCAGAAGTGTGGCAAAAAAAATCTCACCCTTTCTCTCTTTTAAGTACTCTGGATCAATTAAAACCACACCATCTGAAAGAGCAACAAAAAACAATTGTCAACTTTATACATGCTTAGCTGTGAAATGATTGTTATATTACTACTTTAATTTTTAATCCAAAGCATCAAACTCTGTTTAAAAAATAAAATGATAAAATGTGTTTTCTTTGATGAATCATTTTGCAGACAATAAATGTGGTAACACATTACAGTATCTGTGTTAGACAAGTTTAATAATTTACATTAGTAAATTAGTCATTTTAATCAGTTGTATTTGCAAGCAGGGTAACACTTGTCCGTGTTACACGTTACATGTACTTACTATTATAATAACAATTAATTATGCATAATTACATACAAGTAACCCAAATCCTAACCCTAACCATATAATAAGTACATGTAGTTAATCAATATTACTCAGTACTTATATGTATAATTACACTGTAACAAGGACACCTTAAAATAAAGTGTAACCGCAAGCAGCTTTGTTGCGTAATTACAAAGTACACATACATATTTATGACTTATTAATTACAATGAAATTTCAATGTAACATGATCATGTACATCAGTGTTAATTTTGACAGCAAATTTTGATTTAGTTTTAGTTATAGTATTTTGACTAAAATACCATTTAGTTTTAAATCTACAGTAAATTTAGTCGGCTCAAATCTAATGGGTTTAGTTACAGTGCATTAAGCATTTCTCTAAAATTTCCAAACTCATTATATAGGTTTGATATTAAGGTTTTATTATGATAGACACCGATTTAACTGCGGTGACACACAGCATGCCTTTATGTTAAAAGTAAATAAAACCACTTCTCATAAAGAACAAGAACATGGTCTTCTTTTTAATGAAATACCAATGGTTATATAGGCTAATTATGCATTCTTTATAACAACTTGTTTACCATATTCTTCATTCTTTCAAGCAGACATATTTATTTCTATGAATAAATTTTGATTAATCTTTAGGGCTACTAAAGTTTTTCAGTCAAGAGCAGTGCGTGATTTTCTTTTGTTGCTTGATTAACATCAATGACAATAGCAACTAAATTAGGCTGCTACCCCTTTAAAACCGAATGCACAGCTGCAATGGATGCAATGTACTGATACACGTTCTCCCTACTGTTTACGTTCACTTAAGACTTAATCAACTGTGTTTACGTGAATACTCGTCAAAATGGACAATTCGACATCATTTTGTGTGTAATTCTCCGTTCATGCGACGCGAAAGAGTACTCACATACTGTGAGAGGCGCTTTCTGTGCGTGTATGCTTCAGTGTCTGCGCTCAGAAAACCGGACCGCATTGAGTTCTCTCTTGCGCTGTCAGATTTATCCATATGTCTGCTCTTCTCTTATTCCCACATATTGACATTTTTGAACATTTTATGCAATGTGCAGCAAGTGTATGTTAGCTTATGTCCCGCCGGTTCATATGTACGCATCTAGCCATCGAACCACGCAGCAGATTCGTTCTGAATGAATCTCTTCCCAAATCATCCCTCCCTAACATTTTCGTCTCGTTTTTATTCGTTGACGAAAATGTCAATAGATTTACATCATAGTTTTTGTCATTCACAAAGAGTTTTAGTTCGTTATCGTCTCATTGTCGCCGGTGAAAAAAATGCCGTTGACGAAAATTATTCATCAACGAAATGAACACTGATGTACATAAAGTGCAACTATAAGTTAAGATTGTGTCTCTTATTGCCTACCCACAGGCTCCACAAGATCCACGTGGTCGACGAAATCCCTCTTACCAAGGTACACAGTTAACTGAAAAGGCAATCATAAAATTATAGTATTAGCACAACACATAAAACAATTCAAGAACAGAACAATTTGAACTGAGCTAAAATGTCCATTTGTGCCATTGTGCATGTGAAGTTTTATATTTACTTTTTATTAGCCCCTGCAAAATTAATGTTTTTATGAAGTTACGAGCACTAATTTGTCTTTTAAGTGCATTTTCCATCAAAACCCATTACTGAATTGTCCCATATGATTAAATGTTTCTGTAATGGTTGTGTTGTGCCGATCCTTAGTAAAGCCTTTCCCAGCTCTGCAGAAGGCTGGGTGCTGAGTCACATGCCCCTCTTTCATATTCGCCCCACGCCCGCTTCCTGCTCAAGGACTGTCGCGGCGCACCACAGGTCTCCCTGCTAATGATACATATAGACTTGTGGCTATATGCTAACCGCACAACCATTGTGAGCTGGGACCCATCCGTCTGGCTAACCGTGTCGCAAGCATCAAATCAGATTTTGGAACAAGAGGTACTTTGCTGCTCAATATTTGTGGTTAATTCAGTCATAAACATTTCATAACAGGCAGTGCTGCACTCACTGACAGAAAACCTTTGCAGTATCAGAATCAAAACAACTGACTGTAACATTATTGTTAGACATGAAGAAGGGACAAAATGAATGTAATATTACCTTCCCATTTGGACTTGCCTTCTTAAACACCCTGTGGAAAAAGAAGAGTAACATAAGTTGGTAATATACACTTTGCTAAGATGCAGCTATTTAAATGAGCTGTAAGCAATTTGTTGCCATGCAAAAACAATTCCTATCACCTGACAGACATCACTGAAACAGGAAAACAGTGAGAAATCACACTTGTCTCTGTGACAGCCTTAGGCTCTGTAAATCAATGGCAGTTGCTTGGCTGGTGCAGAACCTCTAAAGCATGCAATCTGAATGCTCTTTACTTTAAGTGCACTTATTTCTGTTTTTCAAGGTTTTGTATGTGAGGTTACCATATCATCAGAAATTTTGAGTATTGAGTCATTTTATCAGTAAATCAGCCAAGCCCTCACAGCCAGAGGAGAACGTGCCCCCGTGGTGATGACTGGTTTCTTGTTCGAGTTTTTCGTTCCTTGCCACAGTTGCCTTTGGCTTGTATATTAGGTAACTTAAGATTTTATGTCCTATGCACAATGTGTTATGTCATTACATGACTTTCAATTAACTCCTCAAACTGCTTAGGGGTCGGCAAAATTATCAATATTTTAACACTGTGCGCATCATTTAACCATGACAATGATACACATCACCAAATAGTAATTAGACTTGTTAATACACCAAACTGTTATTAATTTGAATAAAACCTTACAGGTTTACCTCAATATGACCACATAATGAATTAATACCTTCAACCTACATCTACTACAGTATAAGTATATCAAACTTTACCCACATACATACAGTATTTTACTACATTGTAAAAGAAAATTGTGTGACATAAATTACAGTATATTCCAGGTTAATAATTGCATGACTTTCACAGTCATTTCTCAGTGGGACTTCTCTTGCATCTAACTGCACTCTCAGAAATGTATTGTAAACAAACAGCATCATGCTGTGTTTCTACAGTGCAGATGTACTCTGAAGGCACCCAGCATGCAATGCAGCATGAATAGATCATGCTGTAGAGTTTTTTTCTTTATTCTTGTTGGTTTTATTTGTGCTATTGAACTTGTTTTTGGTTCACTTTTAGCAGTTTGTGTTGTTGGTTTATGTTGTAAGTGTTGTTTTTATTTGTTGAGTGTTACCATTGTTGTTTTTTGATGGTCGAGTATTGATGTCAAATCTTTCAAAGACTTTTCTCAGCAGTTGTATCATTATTGTGAAAGATCCATCCACAAACAGTTATGAATATAAAATAAGTTATTGATTAATCTTTGTGCTTAAATAATGGTAAAATAAAATCTTCATGTTAATGCTAAGAACAGGTTGACTATCTTAAAGTCAGGCAATTAGCTTATTTCATATTTAAGCTTGTCATCATTTTGACAAATGCTTTCATTTGTCACACTTCTGACATGACTAGATCAGAA